AATAACATCAGAGGTTATTTTTGACCTCAGCTGATCTATAGGGTACCCGGCAACGTTTCAGTACTGTTTGGTACACGAGTAAGATGGTTCATCGTTTCTCTTATCTCATTCTTGGTTACGGCTATTGCGGGGTCAGCAAACGATGCGTAGCCGGTAGTGTGGTTCTGTGCACAACATGCGCTGAAAAAACTTTCTCATCTGAGAAAAGTGTGAATTCAAAATCAGCTTGACAAAGCAAGACAAGTGACTTCAGCTCATCGTGTGATACAATATTGTCTGTTATGTCTTCAAGTAAAAATGATTCAGCAGTTGGCAAACAATTGCAATTTCCTAATGGAAGAATGCAACGAATTGTAACGCGACAAAATGCATAAGGATATACTTGCGCGAACTTTGTGCGAGATCCGTAGCCAGGTGCATTTCCTTCAAGTGTCTGGTGTTTGTGGTTACCGTTAGTGCGGTTCACCCCGAGGCTCTTGCCTTCTTCAGTGGATAAACTTTAAAAAAGCGGGATCCAGCGCACCTTCAGCAAAATTATGCATCAGACTAGTTGGCTAGTAGTAGTAGTAGTAGTAGCGGGTTTAGTAGTAGTAGTAGTAGTAGTAGTAGTAGCGGGTTTAGTAGTAGTAGTAGTAGTAGTAGTAGTAGCAGCAGTAGTAGCAGCCACTGGGATCGCGCATTCCGAAAGCACACATGTGCAGAGTGGACCATTTCACTCCTTGTTTGGATTACAGGTTGTTGAAGCACTTAGCCCACCATAACATGGATCCAGCATGATTCTCAATAATGAACTTCCTGCCATGGTCAATTTGATAGATAGCAACTCGCGCGCAAAATTCTATCATCGGATAGTAGCGTTTGCGCTTTTCTTCACGTGTTGCTCTATCGTTGATACTGCTCATCTGTGACCATGGTGCGCAATGTGGTGCCATAACCATGACTTCAGGACGCTGAGTGCTTATCACACTCATGGCTCTTTTTCTTCCTTCGGAAGTTAGGATATCAAATCCAGTCCGCAGATCAATTGGCGGTCCTACTCGGAGTCCCGCTAGAGCGGCCGTGTGGCTAAGTCTAGCTGAACCACTAAATAGTTCTAGAAAATCGATCTTACCTTTGGTAACTGGTTGCCAGTGGGACTCGAGAAAAGAATGGCCAGAAGGTGAAACCTGTTCAGCGTCTGCAGTCATCAGAATGCCTGAAGCGTCTCGACCGTCGGAAAGGTCGAGTGGGATGTCAACATCTTCTATCGGATTAAAGCCCTTTCTTATCTTTGACACATTGGTACGGACTATACGAGTGCCAAGATCAATGCTTGCCATGGAACCTTCTATGGTAAGTAGTTTACCCTTAATCCACTTACCACCACGACTCCCATCTGACATTATCTTGCTCTTGTCTTCAGCCCAGTAGTATATCTTGTCACCTGGAAGAAAGGGACCTGAAGACATTTTGAGTTTCGCACTCAAATCCCGTCTAACATCATCTGCTTGTTTTGCCTCTAGATAGGCCTTGGTAGCAAGCATCCTAACTGCTTCTATTTTCTTCTCTGGCGTTGGAACATTGGAAGTTAACTGAGAAGGAGTAGCAGCCTCTAAGTTCAGGATGTCTGCAGGTCTAGACCAAATGCCATCTCTAGTGGAGTTACACCACCGTATGCAACGGAGGAGTTCCTAGCAAGACAAGCTTGACGGACCAATTGTCGATAAGTGACATCCGCTAGTGCGGGATCATCTGCCAAGGAATTCATCATCAGTGTAACCTGTTTCTTAAAAGTACGAACTGCAGCTTCTGCTCGATTAGGACGGTGTTTCTGGTCCTTGTGCAATAGGCCTAATGTTCCTACGAGCGTAAAAGTCTTCAAAATCTGGCTGCATGAACGCTTGATCACCTACAATCGTCTTGGGATTGACCTGGCGGGTCTCAAAATATTCAAGAAACAAACTGATGGTTTCCTTGGAGTTCATCGTGTTAACCACATATGCTGTTGTCAAGGACGTAGCGCCGTCGAAGGGCATGAGAAAAACAAGGTTCTTCTTACCACCTTCAACATCAACCATACCATGATCAACAAAAGTGAGTTCACCGAATGTCTCACTGCGCGTGCCTGAAACCTTGGCGCGAGAAGGTGCTCTTTTGGATTTCTGGCATGTATCACAACTCTTCACCACTGCGTCATACTGTTTGTAAATGTCTTCAGGTAGTTTCAAGGCAGAAGTTCTTCTTCTGAATTGATCAGTTGACATGTGGTAATGTTTCAAGTGAAGTCGCAGTAACTCGGTAGGAGAACTCAGTTTGTCATGTATCCGTTTCAAAGCAATGGGCATGGTGACTGTTGACTTAGGCTTTATCTTCCCTGGCTCTTTCTTCTCTTCGACTTTTGGCTCGTCCGGTATACAGGCTCGCGACTATCCGGCCTTGCCTCTTCATCGTCCTTCTCGACAATCTCTACATCAAGCCAACGTCTGGTGCTTCCGTCGGAATAGTGTGTCAAAACGAACATTGTCGTCTGCTGATGTACGAGGCTTCATCTTAGTTGTATGTCGAACTGGAGGAACATCCTCAGAGGACTGATCTGGCTTGGCCGATAGTTCGGCAGTATCCTGTGTCTTCTTGCAAGTCTTGTCGTAAGTATGAGGTCTATGTTTGCCGTTGCAAGCTGGACAAGTAATGGCTGCAAAGCTGTGAGACGGCTGTCGATTTGCAAGAGCAAGGTCGAGGACATTAAGAACGGTATGGTCGGCAGTTGACACGGACAACGGAAAGTTCTTTAGACCAAACTTCTGGCAGGTAAGGAATTCTCCTGCTGCGGTATGCATGAGTTCAATTTCGAGATGTCTCATCTGTTGAATACTGAACAAAATCGGAACCTTACCCTTATCCACAATGTCTATGGCGGTCGAAACAGAACTTCCGTTAGAACGGGCAAAGTACATGACCAACCTCTGAGTGATCACAGACGTTTCCCCGTTTGCGAACGTGAACATACTCCGACATGGTACCGTTTTGAACCAAATAAGGTTTGGTTCCTGTTTCGAACATGCCTGCATCAAACGGTTCACGGCATGTCTCGATCCCATCGACCGCGTGACCTGTATCTAAATCACGAACGTCGGCTCTTGGCTGAGATCAATCACTGAACTAAGGAAGGACTGTTCAGAGTGTTGAGCGCAAAAGGGCACAAGTGAAGTCTGTTCTGACTTTGTTTCTTTGTGTGCCCCTTCTGTGCAAGTGCCGAAAGTATTACTTCCGTAACCGTTAGTTCGGTTGTCGCGTTCTCATGTGCATGCGAAATATCATCTTGTCGGTCTGTCTTGTCCGACCACTCGATGTGCTCTACACAGTACGAAATGAAACTATCATGCCATCCGGACTGATACCAATCTTCTCCATAGTAACCCCAGTCCTCGGTACCTACACCACTCGCATCATCACCTTGCCAGGAGGTGCTTTCTGCTATCGTTGAAGTGGCAGAGGGATCTTCTGTCATGTTGGCCTTTCCTTTCTTACTTTTGCCTTTGGCCTTGCCTGCAAATGGTTGTTGATCCGTGCCTTTGTTTCCTTTTCCATAGTATGGCTGTTGCCATTGCGGGGTGTAAGGCTTATTGCCTTTCTTGCCTTTACCTTTACCAAGAAAGGTGGAGTCCGGATCTTCATAACCTTCTGTCATGTGCGAATAGCCTTTTCCCCGACCACGGGGTCTGAAACCTGGCCTCTTGCGACCTTTTCCTTTGCCTTTCCTGAATTTTCTGCCGCGGATTTTCCTTCTACGATAGCCGTGGCCATCAGCCTTCAACACGCCGTGAAACCTTGTTCACCGGTTGTTTCATCGGTCACCCAGTAGCCTTCTTCGCCATCCATGGTGCCGTGTTCTTCGATGAAATATGTTCGACGCCTACGATCGCTAGGGCGGTGTTGAAGCTGTGGATCGCTAATGCTGGTTCTACTTACACAGAAAAGTTGTAGAAACTGTGTCTCAACTGCCTGATACTCGTAGTTTTCCATTGGAATATGTTGTGCATTCGCTGATACTAGGCGTTCTCGCTGTTGCTCATTCAAATCTGCTTGCGCAATGAATATCATGGCAATCAAATTCCCAGGTCATGGGAATGCGGCATGATGTTGTTGTTTGGCTGCCTGGCGGAGCAACTGCAAAGACCATTGATGCCAACAGCGTAGTGTCATGAAAAATAAAAAATTATCTCTGGTGTTGCAAGGCTGCATGTCAATTGGCATTCAACGCATTTTCGTCAATCCATGCGCCGCAAATCAATCCCTGCACTGCTTGATTTCAAGTTCAATCCCAGTTTCAATGCATTTGTGAAAGCAAATCCATCTCCAATCCGATCTCAAACAGAGTGCGTCAAAGATGCATGACTGACCTGTGACGCTGATATATCATGCAGGCGTTTTCGCTGGTAGCGGTTCCAAGTGGCTTGTCGCACCACCCACCTGAGAATCTATACTGGAAGACAAGACCAAGTTCCAAGAATACGATCGAAGGTTCTGCATGGCACTGGTGCAAAAGGAACTCTGAATTGACGGTGTACACACACAAAGCACGCTGCACGTTGCAACACTAGCTGGAACCATGCGCATTATGTAGCAATCCTCAAACCCAGCAGAGCTGCATCAAAACGGAAGAAGATCATTTGCATTGATTATTTGCAATTATTGGGTTTGTGCTGCAAAAGTGCAGCCTGCCAAAGCTACACAAATAACTTTCTGTACTGAATTTGCAATGGCAAGATCACTTATTGGCTGTAATTCTGACATGTAAAAGTAAGTTCTACCTTTTGCCAAGGTTTGTGCGCAAAGTCCCTTTCGAGCAGTTTTCAAGAGTCACTTCCTGCAAGCCTGCTCATATCCAGAGATGTACGAAAGCCATCGTTGGGATTTCACAGCTTGGAAATGCAATTGACGATCTGTTCTGTATGAGTGAGAGCCATAAGTAGGAATTCTCCTGCTTGCATTTAAAGCTTTCAGTTTTGCTCACGGAGCAGGTGCTGCTGGAGCGAAGCCAAGCGCATTGTGTGGCACAGTTGTGGCTTCCACCCCTTCTGGAGCTGCGCGGCGAGGCCGGGCTGAGGTAATAGTTTTCTGTGATGCCCAAACTCCTAGGGTTCATTCCAAGAAGAGAAGAAAACAAGATGGAGCCCACGAACCCGAATGCAAACACGTTCAAAAAGCTACATATGTCCAAATGACACTCTTGTAGGACACTCTTGTGGGACACTCTTGTGGGTCACTCTTGTAGGAAACTCTTGTGGGGCACTCTTACGGGACACTCTTGTGGGACACTCTTGTGGGACACTCTTGTGGGACATTCTAGTAGGAAACTCTTGTGGGACACTCTTGTAGGACACTCTTGTGGGATACTCCTGTAGGACACTCTTGTGGGACACTCGTGTGGGGCACTCTTGTGGGACGCTGTTGTAGGAAGCTCTTGTGGGACACTCTTGTAGGACACTCTTGTGGGACACTCTTGTGGGACACTCTGGTGGGACACTCTTAAGGGAAACTCTTGTGGGGCACTCTTGCGGGACACTGTTGCGGGACACTCTTGTGGGACACTCCTGTGGGACACTCCTGTGGACTCTTGTAGGGCACTCTTGTGGGACACTCTTGTGGGACACTCTTGTAGGAAACTCTTGTGGGACACTCTTGTGGGACACTCCTGTAGGACACTCTTGTGGGATACTCTTGTGGGACACACACTCTTGTGGGACACTGTTGTGGGACACTCTTGCGGGACACTCTTAAGGGACACTCTTGTGAGACACTGTTGCGGGACACCCTTGTGGGACACTCCTGTGGGACACTCATTTGGGACACTCTTGCGGGACACTCTTGTGGGACACTCTTAAGGGACACTCTTGTGAGACACTCTTGCGGGACACTGTTGCGGGACACTCTTGTGGGGCACTCCTGTGGGACACTCATTTGGGACACTCTTGCGGGACACTCTTGTGGGACACTCTTGTAGGACACTCTTGTGGGACACTCTTGTGGGACACTCTTACAGGACACTCTTGTAGGAAACCCTTGTGGGATACTCTTGTAGGACACTCTTGTGGGACACTCTTGTAGGACACTCTTGTGGGACACTCTTATATGGACACTCTTAACTCTTGTGAGACACTCTTGTGGGACATGGTTGCGGGACACTCTTGTGGGACACTCTTGTGAGACACTCTTACGGGACACTCTTGTAGGACACTCTTGTGGGACACTCTTGTAGGACACTCTTGCGGGACACTCTTACGGGACACTCTTGTTGCACACTCTTGTAGGACACTCTTGTGGGTCACTCTTATGGGACACTCTTGTTGGACACTCTTGTGGGACACTTGTGGGACACTCTTGTAGGACACTCTTGTGGGACACTCATCGGAACACTCTTGTGGGACACTCCTGTAGGAGACTGTTGTGGGACATGCGGGACACTCTTGTGGGACACTCTTGTGGGACACTCATACGGGACACTCTTGTGGGACACTCTTGTGGGATACTCTTGTAGGACACTCTTGTGGGACACTCTTGTAGGACACTCTTGTGGGACACTCCTGTAGGGCACACTCTTCGTACGAGACTTCCTCCAAAAGTCACGCTGCCAGGCTGCAAGACGAGCGTTTCGTACGAGACTTCCTCCAAAAGTCACCCGTCAAGTCTCAAAAACGAGCGTTTCGTACGAGACTTCCTCACACGTCAAGTCTCCAAAACGAGCGTTTCGTACTAGAAAAGTCACGCTGCGAGGCTGCAAGGCGAGCGTTTCGTACGAGACTTCCTCCAAAAGTCACGCGCCAAGTCTCAAAAACGAGCGTTTCGCACGAGACTTCCTAGCAGAAACACCCATCGGAGCACACACACACATCACGCAGCCCTGCCAAGCAATTTCGCGATTCCAGCCCCTCCAAACAACACCCGCTCACACGCCAATCCCAATGTGACAGCGACATTCACCTCTACCACAACTCACAACCTCCCGATTCCCTGCGCCTGCCACGAATCTTTCTGGGTCCACACGTCTAACGCGCACAAAGTACTGCGCCTGCCACGAAATGTCACCTCCGTCCCACATCGCAACCTCACGATTCCCTGCGCCTGCCACGAAAATCCCACTTCCACACCTCAAAACCTGCACAAAGTCCTGCGCCTGCCACGAAAAGTAACAATGTCATCTCATGTGAGCTTCAACAAAATTTGCACCACACCACACGTTTGGAATGATTTCGACCCGTTCTGAGCACACTCCCCTCCACCAAAATCGGCATTTCAGCTGAGACTTGTCACGAAAACAGAGCTTCGATGCCACACCCTGAAACGCAAATCCCAATGGCACGGCCACATCCAACACCCCAAAAACACGACTCTCCAAACGCCAATCCCAATGGAACTGCGCAGCAATCTGCAGATCTCACCAAACGCTGCGCCTGTGAGTTAAACGAGAACCCTTCGCTACGCATTCGGTAAGGAGCCCTTAGTTCCACTCTTTTTGTTCTTTCTTTGCTGCGAAAGATTGCTGCACAATGCGAGAAAGGGCTAGATTCAGTGTAGCGACTTTGCCTCATGGGTGAGCCTGGGTGAATGTCTCAAGGCTCGAAACCATGTAAATTATGGTCAGCAACAGCTAGTAGCGGCTACCAGCTCTTGGTCGTGCGAAGTAGGCAAAGAGTACGGTTATCCATTCAAATTCGTTCCTACAAGGATCTGGTTGTCACGATTATGCCGAGTTGTAGTCGGCTGTTTATCGACTGTCAGTTGCCCAATATTTTTTTTGTTGGGAGGAGTTGACCATTGGAGGTAGAACTGAAGGTGGAAGTGAGCAAGACAATCTGGCTCGGACAGTTCACTGTTCAACGAGCTTCTGGCAAGCGATTGCTTTGAGCAAGCTCTTGTGTCGAAGCCACCTTTGATGAAGACATTGCTTCCGCCTCCAACTGTGGAAAGAAGAAAGGGAGGCCCTTGGCAAGGAGAGGTGACAAGGTAAAATTCGCATGTGAAAAAAAACATGTAAGATTGTAAAGGAAGGCTCATATATATAAATCACAGATGGCGAAGCCGTACGAGAAGGAAGGCGCTGCGTCCAAGATGCAGAGAAGGCGATGTCTTTAGGTTAGTTGTGTAACGCTCAAGCAAATGAAGTGACTATGTGTCACGTGTGCCCTTGGTCACTTGTCCTTACGATGTCAAGCTATATGCCAGCAGCCCTGAAGGGCGGCAGACCTGCCTTAAAGCAGTTCCCAAAATCAGGAATTCCTCTGTCTCTTTGAGATCAGTTGCTGTGTTTTGCCTGGCATGTTCCGTGACTATATATATATATATATATGTTTTCTTTTTTCCAAAAGTGTCTGAAATGGGGACTTTGATTAGTGATAGCTTCCCCTCATTGTTCGCCAAGATGAGCCTGCCAAAGTTGTTACAGCACTTTGTGGTCGTTGATGCATGAAAGAGGCCCACCTCAACGTTCCACAACATCTCAAAGTATGGGCCAGGTCCTTCAAAACAATGCCTTGTCGAGAATGGGTGATTCCTATGAAAACTTGATGACCTGTGCCGGACCTTTGCAGTGGTTTCTGCTTTACTGAAACTCATTGGGCACGCAGGAGGTGCGCTAGTTGATTTGGCAACTTGGGTCACTTCAGCTGGCCGCTTCGGCCGCTGCGGCCACTGCTGAAGTGGCTCATGTGGCCGTCAGCATCTCTCTCTGTCTCTCTCTCTCTCTCTTCCTCTCTCTCTCTCTCTCTCTTTTCTGTTGAAACGTATCGAATATCGAGTCTCTTCTCTCCAAACCCTTTGTCAACCTTCCTTTCAGACTCTTTTGCCAAGTCCTCTGCCTCGGCCACTTCGGGCAGTTCGGCCACAATGGACAACTTCAACCTTATCTTATACCTTAGAGTCTTACATAACTTGCATATCTCTTTTCAAGTAACAGCAATCTACCTCAGCTGCTTCGGCCACTTGAAGATGTACCCGGATTGTGCGTCCTCTGCTGAACTTGCCTTGGAGGACAGGCATGTTTCATGCAGTAGTTGCATGGGCTGTTGCACATTAGACTTACTTATCAATGCTGCTAATTGATAGTTCCAAAGGACCGAATTGATATATCACTACAAAAGACTCCCCCCCACTGTGCGTGATAGAATCAATTCAAAACCACTCCCCTCTTTAACAAATTAATAGGGAATTGATTTAGGGCGGGGGGCCTTTCCCCCACCTTAGGACACGCATTGCAAGCATCAATTGAGTATACTGTATATTATATATAGGTGGAAAATTGGCTTAGCGACACAAAGGTTGTTGCAGTTCACACGGGTCTTTTTGGTGGCGCTAGCACGAGTACACCATCGCTTCCCCGCTATAGTTCTAAGGTGTGATCGCACATGCTCCAGAGACTATCGAATACCACATGTTCGATCGTTCTCCAGGTCATGTTTGAGTGAACTTTTGTGTCCAAGGCCTGCCAACAGCAATATTGTGGAAACACACGAACTTTGAATCATCAAGAACAAAACATGTAAGAACATGTCCTAATTCTTGAAAAGGCCAGTGCAGAACAGGTAAGTAGGGCGCTTTGCGTCATCAAGGCGCTTGTGAAGACTTTGCCACCAGTGTGGCCAGAGCCACCCCTTGGGCTGGAGGAAGTGGAAGCCCATTTGATTGGGAAATGGCCATCTCTGGCCAAAGAACCAATGTCCAGACCATGACCAACCTATGAGTCCTTTGAAGTGTTTGGAGTTTGGAGGGACGCATGCCATTGTGAAAGCATGTGGTCCTTCAGGGAGTCTGGATTGGTACGCTCGGGGGCAGAAGGCACACCGCACTGGTTTTGACTAAAGCTAGTTGGGACACGCTTGGCAGGAGTGTCAAAAGGTGGTGGCGATACACGTGCGCGATATGATACAGCCAGGTAGGACTCGTCCTTGGGATTGTTTTAGACCCTGCCTAGGCCTGTTTGTTTGGCCAATCCTGTTCCAGGTATGGAACTATTCCCTAACACTTGGGAACTATTCCCTAATACTTAGGAACTATTCCCTAACACTTGAGAACTATTCCCTAATACTTAGGAACTATTCCC